CCCCTGCCAGGGCTGGGGATGATGGAGATGGGGTGTCCCCTGAATGTCATCTCACCCCTGCCAGCGCTGGGACTCAGCCCAGAGGGGGTTTGGCTGCTGGGGATGCTGCTGAGGTGGCTGTGCTTGCTCCCTGCCACGGCAAATGTTTGCCAACGTGGTTAAAATAAACCTTGGCACTGGTGGGATGGGGTGGTGGGATGGGGTGGTGGGATGGGGTGGTGGGATGCGCTGGGTGGAGATGGGTGTCCAGGTGGATCCAACTCCGGCTCCATCCCCTCCCGGCCCACTCAAGTGGCTTTTGCCTCATGAGCAGGGAATAGGGATCTACCTCCGGGACACTGGGACCAACAACGTGGCCCAAATTGTCCCTGACAGCCCTGTCTGGCTCCCGCCCGGCGCTGCCGTTTGCATCCCGCGGGATGACACTCGGCTTCACTCGGCTCGGCAGCGGTTCCTGCTGCCCGAGGAGGAGGAGAAGCAGATGGAAAACCGGCTTAAACGTTCCCGGCGGGAAGTCCATTGCCAACCACGGACTTGCCAGGGCCCAGCCGAGCCACAGGATTACTGGAGGAAAGAGCCCCTGGCAGGGGTCGGTGGGCGCCTGCGCCCCGGGGGCCCTTCCCTGCCACCCCCCAGCTCCGGGAGCCCCTTTGTGCCCATTCCCTGGGGGAGACCCTGGTGGGGCTGGGAGGGGTCGGGGGGGTGGCATTGGCTCTGCAGCTGAATTCCCATCAGGTTGTGTTTAATAGCAGGGGAGAGGGCGGCAGGGCTGGGGGGGGGGGGGGTTTGGGGGGGGGGGGGGGGAGCTGCTGTGTTTTATTTTGCTCTGTAATAGGCTTATTACTCCTGATCACGCTGTGACTATTTGAATGAAGGAGATTTCGGGAGATGAAAGCGGAAGGGAGATTTTTAAGTCTCTCAGTGCCTGGCCCTGCAAGGACGGGTGCCCTTGGAGAGGGGGGGGACCCCATACCCGGGACCCCCTGCCCCAATTCCCCCCTCGCCTCGCTGCCCCCACGAGCCCTGTCCAGCCCCCAGTGGTTACAAACCTCCTAATTTCCAGCCTCAATTTATTCATGGCCGGTTTATACCCATTTGTTTATGTGCCAACACCGTTCCTCAGCTTAAATAGCTCTTTTCCATCCATAATATCCCCCCCCCGTATTCCAGCGGGCGCAATCATATCTCTTTTCAAGCTGTTCAGGAAAGAAAAATCTGAATTATTTAACCCTTGGGACACTGGCTGGTCTCACAGGGTGTAGAGAGACAAATCCGCTTTGTTCCCGCGCTGGGTCACCGCCTGAATTTGGGAATTTTTGGGGGATGCTGCTGCTGCTCAGAGGGGAAACTGAGGCACTGGGTGCAGTTGAGGGGACCAGGACCAGGGTTTGGGCACAGGGTTTGCTCTCCTGGTTGGCTCTGACCCGCAGGGGCTGGGGGTCTTGGGCTGTGGCTGCCTGTCGGGAAGGCTTTTCCCCTCCATGGGGAATATCCAGGAGGTAAAAACTTGGGAAGGCAGTGTGCATCCAGCATGGAGATGCCACCCTGCCCTTCTGGGGGACCATGGCACTGGATCCAGTGATGACATCGGATCCAGTGGTGGCATCAGCCCCATCCATCCCTTTGCATTGTCCCCGGTGATGGGATCATCCTCTTCCCATGGCATCGTCCCCATCCCGTGGCATCAGGCTGGGCTGCTCTGGGGGGAGCCCAGGACCCCCTGCAGAGTGGGGTGCACCGTGCTGGGGGTCCCCACGGCTCCCTGCAGCCCCCCTGTGAAGGGTGACCCCCCCCCCCCCGCCCCCCCCCCCCGGCGGGGGCCCCCCCCCCCGCCCCCCCCCCCCCCACGTCTGTCTCCATCTGGGCCATTTATCAGCTTTAATCAGCTTTAATTCAGCAATTTGTCAGGCAGGCGAAGGCCCTCACAGTGAGTTTTTCCAAAAAATATAATAATTATTATTATTATTCCCCTGATACGTGGGCCCCCCCGCCTCGTCTTTGCTTGGGCTTTAGCAACGATCATTAAAATAAATAATTTTTTTAAATAAAAGGCAGCAAGAAGAGGGGTTTTTTGTGGGCTTTTTTTTTTTCAATATTTTTTATTGTTCTCTGCGCGTTTGAAAATTGTTTCCCAGTAAATTCCAGCCCTTTGTATTAATTTTACATTTTCCAATGTTACCTTGCCAGGGGCAGGGTTGGCACAACTGGCTCGGGAAAGGAGAGGGAAGGAGAGGGAGAAACCCTGCTCCTTAATTAGCGCGTTCCCTGTGTGATCAGAGAGCTTATGAGGCAGGTAATGAGCTGGAGGGGGGCTGCAGGAGCCCCCTCCCTGCACCACCTCCCGTCTTCCCCCCCTTCCCTTTTTGGGGTGCCTTTGGGATCACCCCCCGTCCCGCCGGCCCCAGGGATGTGGGATCACGTTTGGGGTGTCCCTGTGATGAGTTTGATCCAGTCTCAGCCCCGCTTGCAGCTGCCACAGGCTCAGGGGCTGTCCGGGAGCCCCGAGATGCTGCTTTGGGGGGGCCAGGGAGGTTGTGGCCACCACCCCCATCCCACCAGGGCCGTGCTGACCCCTCTGGCCACTGGCCAAGCCCTGGAGCCGTGGAGTGACCCCCATCTCCGGCCATCCCAAGGTTGGGGGCTGAGATGGGGCCGTGCTGTGAAGTCTCAAATTAATTAGCAAAGAAAACTCACTCAATGAGGGGGGGGGAAGCCAAGCTGCCAAATTGGCTCCTGGGGCCGCCTGTGAATTTGGCCTCGAGCTTTCCCGGCTGCGGTGCCGGGAGCTCCGGGGTCTGGAGTTTGGGGAGGGGGGGCACAGGGGTCGCCCCGAGGGGCTGGAGCAGGGGTTGCTGGCATGTGCCATGGAGTTCTCCAGGGCTGCTAATCCCTTAATCTCTTGGATAAGCAGTGCCAAGAACGCAAATGACACCGGGATTGTGGTGCTTGGCTGCGGCGATGCCGGAGCTCCGCCGGGATCGCCGGGAATAATCATTTTTGTGTCATTTCCTACTGAGTGGTGCCGGTTTATCGGCGTAAAACAAAGAGACTCTGGGTTAATCTGGAGGTTAATACGGATTTTGGGGTGGGATGGGCGGGATCAGGCCCTGGATCACGGTTAAACCGACTGGTGAGGCCCTGGCACAGGTTGCCCAGAGAAGCTGTGGCTGCCCCGTCCCAGGGAGTGCCCAAGGCCAGGGTGGAGCAACCTGGGCTAGTGGAAGGTGTCCCTGGCAGTGGTTTGTGTCCCTCCCAGCCCAAACCATTGCAGGGTCCCGGTGCACCCCACTGACCCGAGTCGTCCCGCAGGTTCCACCGCGGGGACTACACGGTGGAGGTGAGCATCAACGACTACCTGGACATCTACTGCCCGCACTACGAGGAGCCGCTGCCCGAGCGCATGGAGAGGTACATCCTGTACATGGTGAACTACGAGGGCCACGCGTCCTGCGACCACCGGCAGCGCGGCTTCAAGCGCTGGGAGTGCAACCGCCCCGACTCCCCCAACGGGCCCCTCAAGTTCTCCGAGAAGTTCCAGCTCTTCACCCCCTTCTCGCTGGGGTTCGAGTTCAGACCCGGCCACGAGTACTATTACATCTGTGAGTGGGGAGGGGAGGGAGGGGGGTCTGGGAGCACATCCCGGGCACGTCCCGGCATCGCCGGCCGGGGTCGGGCTCGGTTTGTGTTGGTGACCCGGAGTGTTGCAGAGCCCCCGTGTTTTCTGTGCTCTCACATGTAATTCCTGTGTGCTCCCATGTGTCCCCATGCTCTCACATGTAATTCCTGTGTGCTCCCATGTGTCCCCACGCTCTCACTTACATTCCCGTGCTCCCACATGTATTTCCTACGCTCTCCCATGTGCTCTCGTGCTCTCACTTATATTCCCGTGCCCTCCCACGTATTCCCGTGCTCTCACATGCAATTCCCGTGCTCTCCCGTGCATTCCCGTGTATCCCTGTGCTCTCCCGGGTCTGGGCTCCCCTTTCTCACCCAAACCTGGACCCCAAACTGCTCAGCCTGCTCTGGTGCTGGCGGCAGGATGGGGGTTCCTGGGAGAGCATTTCCCTCTCTGGAGTGTCTGCAGGGGCCAGGGCAGAGGTGGGGGAGAGGAGCCAGATCAGCTTCCTCGTGAGCTTGCTGGAGTCATGGAAAAATAATCCAGCGGTGCTGGGAGCAGGCGCTGGGATAAAGCCCAAACCCAAACAAGGCAGTGTGACCCCGGTGACACCGGGAGCCAAGGACCCGCCGTCCCCTCCGGAGCCACCGCCACACTCCTCCACCTTATCATTTCTCCCTCTTTTTCCTAAAGCAGCTGTTTTCAGCCCACTTAATTTGTTCCTTTTATCTATATTAAATTACCATTTCCCCCCCCTCTGCCTCCCCCCGTAAAATGTCACCGGTGCAATAACTGCGGCCACAACTCGCTCTCTCCCCCCCCCCCCACCCCTTATTTTATTTTATTTTTTTTTTATTTTTTAATGTCGTTAGGGAGAGATTACACAGGAGTAAATGGGAAGCTGATCATTGCTAACCCGGTTAGAATTCCCGTCATGCGGAACATTAGAAATTATGCCTCTTTGAGGAACCGTATTTAGCAGACATGAAAGAAAAGAAATTACCTCCTCCTCGAGCCCATGGATTGGAATCCATTAACCCGCCGGCACCGGGACACGCTCGTGGCCCTGGCACGGGTCAAGGGCACCTCGTGGCCCTGGGGACCGGGGGATGGAGCTGGGATGGGAGCTGGGATGCTGTGGGATGGGATGCTGTGGGATGGGATACTGTGGGATCCCCGTGGTGCCACTTGGCTCGGCACCTTCTCCTTCCCTGCCCTGTGGGGTGCAGCACCAAAAGGCAAAAGGAAAGGAAAGGTTTGGAAAAAAAAAAATAAATCTGCTTTAAAATTAAAAAGAAAATTACAGAGAAAATTAAATTCCTTTATAAATATACATATATATATTTTAAAAAAATCCCATTTTCTCACCCTGAGAGGGAGTTTCACCTCGATAATTACTGCAATTCCTCCCTTTCTTCCAGTGTTTATTATTGTTTCTCAGTGCTTGACCCTCACTTTGTCTCTGCCCCTCCCAACCCACTGGTCTTTCTCCCCTTTTCCTCCCCACAGCTGCATCCCCCCCGAACATGGTGGACAGGCCCTGCCTGAAGCTGAAGGTTTACGTTCGGCCAACGAGTAAGTCAGAGATTGGGGGGTCCCTGGGGGGCCCCTGGGTCCTGCCCTGCGGGTGGTGGTCCTGGGGACGGGGACAGGGATGGGGACAGGGACCCCCAGCCCTGACAGAGCCATCCCAGCCTGTCCAGCCCGTGGTGGACAGACAGGGGAAAAAAAATAATTAATAGCAATAATAATCTCTGCGCTGTGGCCACTTCTCCGGCTCGCATAAATCAGCCATTTAAAAAAACAAATTAATAATTTTCTTCTCCTGTTAACGTGTAATTAGCAAATGGCAGCGGCTCTCCCCGGGGACAGCGGGATGTCACCGGGTAACGGATGGCTCTCGCCTCCTTTCTTCAGTGGCTTTAAAATAAAACCCAGCATAACGGAACCGTCTGTAAAAACTCATCACCTTCCGTTCAGAACGAGGGGAAAAGATCTCTCCCGATATTATTTTTTAGTATTTTAATAATACTGGGATTTTTTTATTTCCACCTTGCGGAGGGGAAGGGAAGGGGAGAGGGGCTGGGCCCTGGGGGTGGTGAGGGGCCCCTGAGGGGGCACCTGGACACCCCTCGACTGGGTCCTGAAACATTCCCAATTGCAAATGCCTGGCACAGGGGACCCCGGTCTGGGGGGACCCCACACAGGGACCCTCCAGAATGAGGGGGAACAAGGGGATCGGATGGGTGGAGCAGTGGAGCGTCCCTAGACAGGACCAGGCTCTGCTTTTCCTGCCTCTAGGTCCATAAAAATCCCTGGGACCGGAGAGCTCTGTGCCCTCACCCACCCTCCATCCCCGGAGAGCACCCGTGGCATCCCCACGCTGCCCTTCCCTGGGACACGGGGCTGTGGAGCCACACGGGGCTGTGGAGCCACACGGGGCTGTCCCTGTGTCAGGTCCCAGGGCTGGCAGCAGTACTTTTGGGGAGGTTGGGATCTGGGGGAGGATCAGTACCCAGCTCCTCACAGGACCCCAGTCCCAGGGTGCTCAGCATCACCACTGCCCTGCCCGGGCTGGGTCCAGCCTGGCTCTCAGCCATCCCCCCGCTCACACATCCCTCTCTTCCTCCTTTTCCGCAGACGATTCCCTCTACGAGTCCCCGGAGCCCATTTTCACCAGCAACAACTCCTGCTGCAGCCTCAGGGTCCCTCCGGCCGCGCTGGCGGTGGTGCCGGTCGTCTGGACGCTCCTGGCCTCGTAGCCCGACCCCGACGCGCCGGGAGCGGCTCCGCGGGGCAGGAGCAGCCCGGGCACGGATCCTGCCCACCCCGAACCGCCCGGATGGTGCCTGGGGAGGTCACTGGTGCTGCCGGCGAGGATCCTGCCGCCACGGGAAGTCCCTGTCCTGGCACAGTCATCCCTTCGGGAGCGGTGCCGGGCTGTCCCGCGGGATGGATCCCGGCTCCCATCCCTGTCCCGCAGCTCAAGCTCCGGCCGTCCCGGTCGGGCATCGCTTTTTACATTTCTAGACCAAATACAGAGTCCTCGTCCGTTGGTTTTTTTCTTTTTTTTTTTTTTTTTTAAGAAAAAAAAAAAGTTTTTTCTTTTTCTTTTTGGGGTTTTTTCCGGCCGGGCCCCCCCCCCCCAGGCCAGACTGACCTGCCTGGGGCCAGGCTCAGCCCCCGCCCGGTGGAGCCTCCGGATTGCCGGGACCGCCGGACACAGCGATGGTGCCAACGGCTCCGTGGGCACGGACTCCTTCCCAGCCCGGCCACAGGATGTCACAGAGCCTGTCCGGACACCCCTGGACACCCCTGGACACGAGGGGTCTGGACAGACACAGCCCCCCTGGGGGGGTCACCCCGTTCCCTTCACTCGTGCCACAGATGGCACCAGTGTCCCCATGGAACACTGGGACAGCTCCATGAACAGCAGAGGAAACTGGATACAGCCGAGGGGAGCACCGGGAACGGCCGGCAGAGAGCACTGGGATGGCCCGTGCTGGGAGAGCAGCGGGAATGGCCGGCTGATACCGGGAGCACTGGAATGGGTGGCATGGAGAGCACCGGGAATGGCCGGCAGGAAGAGCAGTGGGGATGTCTGGCTGCCACAGGGAGCACCGGGAATGGCGGGCACAGAGAACGCCAGGGACGACTGGGACTGGGAGCACCGGGAACGGCCGGCACCGAGAGCACGGAGGATGGACGGCACTGGAGATGGCTGGCACTGAGAATGGCCAGCACTGGGAGCACCAGGAACAGCTGGCACTGAAAATGGCCGGCACTGGGAACACCGGGAATGGCCGGCTGGTACGGGAAGCACCGCCGGGCGCTGGGAGCCGGCGGGCCGGGCTCGCCCAGCCGTGGGCATCATTCCAAGGGCATTTGTCCGGCGCCGGGGCTGGAGCCCCCGCCGGAGCAGGGCTGAGCTCGCCAGGGCAGGAGGAGGCTGTGCCATGGATTTTCCTCCTCTGCTCTGCACCGTGTCCCCCCAATGCCTTGGGGGTCCAAGAGTCCCCCCAGGGGGGCCACATCCATCGTGGTGCTCCCCATGGTCCCCCCTTTGCCCCCCGACATTCCGGGGTTGGGCTTGGGGATTTTTCCCTTTTCCTTTGCATTAATAAGCAAAACCCCCCAAAACCCCCTGATCCGAGGTTGGCCCTGACCCCAGGGGTGGCAGGTCCCCAGGGAGGGGTCCCCCCGCAGCCCCGGGGTCTGACCCCTCCTCGCCTTAAATCTGGGGCTGTCCCACCTGGGGGGGTCCCCTGCCTGTCCCACAGAGCCCCCCCCTATTCCCCAGGGGGTTGGTGGTCCCGGGGGATGCCGGTGGTGGGCTCAGACCCAGCCGCAGCCCCCCATTCCGAGTGGATCCCGGCCCTTCCCGAGGGCTCCGTCCCTGTACATACAGCGCTATACTGTGAGCGGTTTTTTTTATGTATTGTTGAGAATGGATTTTATGGAAGGGTTTATCTTATTTTTATTTTATTTTTATTTTTTAGACTAGGAAGCTGGAATCTCGCAATAAGCTCATCTCGACCATCCAAAAAAAAAAAACAAACAAACAAACAGATAAAAAAAAAAAACCACCAAAAAAAAAAAACAAAAAAAAGAAAAACCCACAATAAAAAAATCGCATTCCCTGCTGTCCCTGTCCCTGTCCCCGTGTGTCCAGACCAGGTCGTGGTTCCTGAAGGTGACAAAAGCATTGTGTTTATGGGGGGATGAGGGGGGTACCCACTGGGCTCCGACACGGAGCCAACAGCACCCGCCTGGCCTTCGGTCTGTGTTTTATATATATATAGATTATATATATAAATATCTATATTGTGTACAGCGACTGTGGGAGAGTGGAAGGACGGAGGCGGTGGCGGGGGCAGGGCTGGGGGTCCCCCAGAGCAGCCCCCCCTCCTCAGCAATGTCCCTCCGTGCTGGTCCCCGTTGTGCCTCGCTCCGTCCTTCGACATTCCGCTTTCGTCCTCGACGTCGTGCTGATGGTAACCGGATCTATCACCCCCCCCCATTTGGATTCTGTATTTTTTTATAATAAAATGCAAATAAATGTCGTGTGAGGCCCTTGCTTTGAGAAATCACTTTCCCTCCCCGTGCAGCTCCACGTCCCCCGGGGGCTCCGGCACCGGCTCCATCCCCGCTCCCGGTGCAGCCCCTCTCCCCTGGCACACCGGGGCTGTGCAGCCAGACCTCTCTGCTGGGTGGCGTGTTAATTACGGGAAGGGTTTAATTACCCTGTTAATTAATAATAATGGATATTAAATTAATTAATATGCAATTGTTGATAGTGCTTAATTATCAGAGGCGATGCTGCCCTGCGGGCGGGCGCTCGGGGCTGGCGGCTCCCGCGGCTCCGGCTGCTCTCCCGCCGCTGCCTCAGTTTCCCCAGGAATGAGACGTCAGAGGTGACATCCCAGGAGGCCACCAAAGCCAGGACAGGCTGCTCAGAGGTGGCATCACGAAGCATCCTCTGCCAACCCCCAGGCCCCCCTCCCTCCCCGTTCTTTTTTTACCTTAAATGCTAAACTTTTTTTGGAGCGGGGCCGTGCTCATTCCCGGCGTTTTTATGCCTATTCCAGCGTAATTAGCAGAATAGGAACAACCCGCTGGTAATTAATTGAGGCTCCCACAGCTGATCCGAGCTCTGAAGTTTTGCCACCAGAGGGTGAAAGAGTAATTTTGCTTTTTAATAAGGGCCATATGTGTGCCAGGAGCGGGAGCGATGCCACCCACCGCCAGGGACGTGGGTGCCGCCTCCGTCACCGCCGGCTCTGCCAGCGACGGGCAGAGGGAAGCACCAGGGAGGGAGCCCAGCAGGGATTTACCAAAAAGCGATTTTTTTTTTTTTTTAGACCTGCTCAGGAGGTTTTCTGAGCCCTGACTCGTGACTTTTTTAACGCCGGGTGTTGGAAATAGGGAGGTAAAAATAGCAAACGGGCAGCACGAGGCTGAGACGGATCATCGTTAGTAATTAATTAATGGAGTCGTGGGGTTTTAGGGCCTGAATGGGATCATTTAGAGCCCGTCTCTCGTGCAGAGGCATCGAAGTTTGATGTGAGGAGTGGTGGTGATGGAGAGCTAGTCCAGCCCTGGGTGCTCCTTGTGCTGCATCCCTGCAGGGTTGGTATCACCCACCCAGTATCACCCCCCTGTTATTACCCACCCAGTATCACCAACCCGGTATCACCTGCCTGTTATTACCCACCAAGTATCACCCACCAAGTATCACCCACCCATTATCACCCACCCATTATCACCCACCTGGTATCACCCACCTCTCAGTCTTTAATATATTTAACCTTTATTATATTTAAACAGGGATGGATGGGGGTGCAGGGGGCTGCAGGTGAGGCCAGGGCTCATCCAGGCTCCCTGCGTCTCCCCCTGGCCCCGTGCCAGGGGGTCTCTGAGGCTCTGGGATCCCCAACTTTGTACCCAGGGGAAGGGGGACCCACTGCAGCACCCCCATCCCACCAACACCAAAACACGAGCGAGCAGAGCTGGGTCATTTCAGCCGAGAGTTGGGGCTGAATCCAAGGAATTGAGCTGGGATGTGCCATCCCGCACCGGTGCTTCCCACCCGCTCCAGAGCGAAGGCACAGGGGGGGTCCCCAGTCCCCATGGTGGTCACGGTGTGTCCCTTACAAGGTCTCTGCTCCTGCAGCTCCTCGCTCTGTTTCAGCATTTCAACATTAATAGTTTTTTTCATTTAATCCCCTGGAGGCAGCGGGTGCTCCGTGCTCCGCTGGCCCGTGGAATATCCCACCTGGTGCGACCTCACGGCTGCAGAGAGCACACGGGGGGTGCAGCCCCCCTGTCCCGGTGTTGTGGCCCGGGTTGGCACCGTGGGGAGGCTCAGGATGTGCCCGGCAGCTCCCCAGTTCCCTCCCTGCCTCCCTGCCCTGGTCCTCGCTCCCGCGGGGATGCTCAGCCAGGCACGGCCCATCCCTGGCGGGCTTTCCAGTGGGATTTTCACGATTTGTGCCTCAAAGACACCACCCCAGGGCCTGCCCAGGCAGGCATGCCATCATGGCTCCTCTGGTAGTGCTGGGGCAACCGTGGCCACCAGGTGCCAAGGGAAATGTTCACCACAAGGCTGAGCTCTTCCCGGGGCTGCTCGAGGCAGAGCAGAGAGCTGGGAACATCCTGGGCTAAAAATGATCCCTGTCCCAGTATCCAGCTTCAATTTGCTCCATTTAAATGAATTCCCTGCAGCTGGGATGCCCCCTCCCCACCCTGTGTCCCCCATGGCATCGTGCCTTCACATGGCACATGGTGGGCGCTGCAGGGCTCAGGCTCCCGCACGGAGCCGGCACAGTGGCCACCAAGGTTGGCACAGTGGCCACTGAGGGCTTGTTCCTGTGTCCCCCCGTCCCATCTCATCCCACACAGGGCACCACAACACCCCACAGCCCCCTGTGCTCCCCACGGGCTCACCGGCACCTCCCAGGCTCCGTCACGTCCCTCTGGCAGCTCCTGGCGTGGGCTCCTGCCCCGGATCCAGCTGGCAGGGACCCCTCCTGCCCCTGTGTCCGCTCCCGGGCTGTCACCTCCGCTCCCCTCCCTGCCCCGGCCATCCCTCTCCCATCCTTATCTCCTGAGAGGTACAATTGGTTCGACCAGGAGCGCTCCTGTGACAGACACGCTGCTCCTGTGACAGACACGCTGCCGGCTGCGAGCACCCGGGAGGATCCCAGAGCAGGGGATGATTTATGGGAACAACGTGGGGAGGGGAGCAGGGAGCGGAGGTGCCGGGAGGGTCCCCGGCTCCCAGCCGGACCCTCCGCCCCGTCCTGGCCTGGAGGGGGGCTGGGGGAGGTGGGGGTGGCCCCCCAGCCCTGTGTGGCCATTGGTCTCTGTGAGTGGCCCAGCCGGGGGTGTGACTGTCCCAGCTCCTCCTGCGCCTTCGCAGGCCCCGCGCACAGGAAATGGAACTTTTCGGGCCACTGGACATTCAGTCTTGTTCAGCTGTTAATTCCCCCGCTCTGGGGAGAGGAGGGACGTGGGCAGCGGAGGGAGGGCGATGGAGTGGTGGGAGGGGGCTGCTGCAGCCCCTGGATGAGGAGGATCCGTGGGAATCATCGAATCATCAAATCCCAGGATGGTTTGTGTTGGAAAGGACCTTAAAACCCATCTGGTTCCACACCCTGCCACGGGCAGGGACACCTTCCACTAGACCAGGTTGCTCCAGCCTGTCCTTGGGCACTCCCAGGGGTGGGGCAGCCACAGCTTCTCTGGGAAATCCATTCCAGGGCCTCCCCTCACAGGGAAGGATTTCTTCCCAATATCCCGTCAATGAGATGGGTGAGAGCACCTCAGGAGGTCACCGCATCCAACCTGCACCCAAGGCACCTTCCCTGCACCCTTACCCCCATCCCAGGCCCAGTTTGGGTGGCGGGAGAGGCAAATCCACCGCCGAGCATCCACATCCCAGCCCCGATGCCGGGGAGCGATTTCCCCCCCGGGCACGGAGTGAGCATCCATTCCCCTCGGAGCTCCTCTCTTGCAAGGTAACCAGCATTATATCCGGACCAATTGCTCCAGCATGATCCTCCTGAATGTTGCACAGCATGTACACGGCGTCTTATGGAAAATACATGCCCCTGGGTGAGCCTTTTAATAGCACCGGCTCCTGCCCGGGGGCCGGGGGGGCCACACTCCGCCCCGGCGCTGCCAAGGGATGATTGAAAAGTTGGGGCTCGCCGTAGGAAACCCCCCGCTGTGGGGAACAACGTGTTTTCATTCCCCTGCCAGGTAACAAATGAAAAGAATTGCCATGAATGCTAATGGAGAGGGGAGCGGGATGCTGCCGGGGCTGGAGGTGGGGATGGGGGGAGCAGGGATGGGGGGGTCTGGCCCTGGGAATGCGGGAGCTGCCGGGGGACCCCGGTTCTGCAGGTGGGAGCTGGTGGAAAACACACCCCAGTATGGAGCTGGTGGGTGCTACAGGGAGGGTGCTCTGGGGTCCTGAACCGAAATCACTTCTTTTGGCAACAAAATGCAGCTGGGGGAATGCGTTGGTCCCCAAAATCCCCCTTGGAATGAGCTCCTACCGCTTGGGTAGACCCTGGTTTTGCCAGCTGGAGCTGGTCATGCTGTGGAAAACACTCCCTGGCACGGGGCTGGTGGGTGCTACGAGGAGGATGCTCTGAGGCTGTACCAAAATCACTTCTTTTTGCAACAGAAATCCCCAAAATTCCAAGCTTCCAGCCCCAGGAGCCTGTCCCGCAGGCAGAGGTGCCATTGAGCTGGAGCAGCCAGAGGAGGGCTGAGCTGTTTGTCACCGTGGCCGGGCTGGGAAGCGGGAGGGTAAACACGGATGAACAGCCTTCACCCACTCTGGTAAATATTTTATATCCCACACCAAGAAAAGACACTCCTATTTAAATGATTTATCAAGGAAGATCATGTAGAGGTTTCCATAAAATATGTAGGGCTCCTAATCCCGACATCATCAAGCCAAGAGGACCGGAATCATTTATTACCTTCCCAACAGCCGCGTGGCTGCGGGGACACGACTGACAAATAAAAGTGTGTTTACAGCTTTTGGGCTCCTCTGGGGAGAGGTAAATCACGGCAGGGGTGGGAGGGGGAGAGGGAGCCGGAAATGAAGTGGCAATTCCCGTCTGACACAGGAGGTCAGGGCAGGGGGATGCCGGACACGGGGCATCCCGGTGTCCCCCGGTGTCCCCCGTGTCCCTGTCCCTGTGGTCACTGCTGGGTGCAGCAACGCTCATTCTCCAGTGGGGTTTGGGGGGTGGGCCCTGGGTGTAAACCCCCATGGGATGTCCCAGTGTCCCCAGAGTGTCTGTGTGTGTCGAGGTTGTGCCATCTGGGATGAGTTTTCCATGGGGCCCACAGGGATATGACCCCTTTCCCCTTGGGGATGGAATCACTCCTGTACTGCCACTTGACCCTTGGGATCCCGGGAGGGTGGGCACTGGGGACAAACCCCTCTGGGATGCCCAGATGTGCTCAGATGTTGTGCAGGTTGCAGCTGGACTGGGATCAGCCATCTGGGATGTGTTTTCCATGGGCATCAGCAGAGTCAGGA